GTTGAAGATGGATCTCTTTTGAAATGGAAGGCTGGTTTCGAAACTGCACTTAATAGTTGTGTTATACTTGGCGCAACAACTTCGTCGTCGTCAAAATTTCAGAGCTCCAGCCCTAATTCTACTAATTCATCGGAATTATGCGGTGTTGATGATAGCAGGACAGAGGATTTGTACTCAATTTGTTGGTTCTTTTTCCCTTTTTAATTCAACTTTGGATCATTCTTTGTACTGCAGATTGCTATGTTATTAGATTAATTTGTTGGTTCTTTGAAGGAAATTAGGTTGTAGGTTTGGAGAGTTATACTCTATTTGATGGGTTGAAATCAATTGGGGATGATTTTGATATAATAATAGCTCAATTTTGGGGAGAGGACGGAGGATTTGTACTTAATTTTGGAGAAAGAAGAAGAAGAAGAAGAGGGAAATTTGTTTGCTTTAAATTTAAGTTTTGAGTTTATTTTTTGTACTTCACATTGTTATATGTAACAATTCAATCTTATATGTGACAGTTCTACCTTATATGTGATAATTAGATCTGATTTGTGATATTTGGGTGTTGTATGTGATATTTGGGTGTTGCTTGTGACATTTGGGTGTTGTATGTGATTTTTGGGTGTTGTATGTGATATTTGGGTGTTGCTTATGACGTTTGGGTGTTATATGTGATTTTTGGGTGTTGTATGTGATATTTGGGAGTTGTATATGATATTTGGGTGTTGCTTGTGACATTTGGGTGTTGTATGTGATATTTGGGTGTTGTATGTGATATTTGAGTGTTGTTTGTGATATTTGTTGTTTATACGTGACATTTGGGTGTTGTATGTGATATTTGGCTGTAATTTGTTGATAGCTCTTGTGCTTATTTGTCACATGACTGTAATTTGTTATACGTGACACATGGCTGTAATTTTTTGTATGTGATATTTAGATCTAGTAGTCATTCCACATGTGCTTATTTGTCACATGATATGCTTATTTATCACATGTGGAATGACTCTATTAGATGTGACTTATATCACATACAGATATTGAAATATCTGTATGTGATATAAGTTACATCTAATAGAGTCATTCCACATGTGACAAATAAGCATATCATGTGACAAATAAGCACATGTGGAATGACTACTAGATCTAAATATCACATACAATAAATTACAACCAAATATCACGTATAAACAAATTATAGTCATGTGACAAATAAGCACATTCACTATCAACAAATTACAGCCAAATATCACATACAACGCCAAAATGTCACGTATAAACAATAAATGTCACAAGCAACACCCAAATATCACATACAACACCCAAATATCACGTATAAACAACAAATATCACAAGCAACACCCAAATATCACAAATCAGATGTAATTATCACATATAAGGTAGAAGTGTCACATGTAAGATTGAATTGTCACATATAACATTGAAATATCATATGATATGCTTATTTGTCACAGTTATGGTTAATTGTGATACATATATGTTCTCTCATTTTCCCATTTAACCTTGAATAACTAAGAAACATAACAACACTCCCAAATTGAACTTTAATTGGATCAAAATCATCCTTACAAAGGATTTCAACTCATCAAACAAAAATACATCAGGAAGTTACAATCCTAACCCACCATTCCATTTCCTTATCAAATTTTACAAACCGATGAACTTTGTTAATCGTCCAAACAACAACTTTACACAAAACCAACTATACTAATACATTGGAAGAGATTCCATTTGCAGATTCACATACGACATGAATTTGCACATAGAATGATCCAAAGTTGAATTAAAAAGGGAAAAAGAACTCGTCTTTTGCTCTCCTCCTTGTCATCATCCATTGAGAAATCTACAAGATTCGATCGAAATTATTTTTTGTTCTCCTTCTCATCATCATCATCAACAGCAGAGCCCCAAGAACTGTGCACATTCTGATCGTACGGGCTCGAGTGAATCTGCATCATCCTCCCTTTGCAAGGCTTCAATATTCATTGTCTCCATTCCCTCTAGAATCGCCTTGACGAAAAAAATATGCATGTATGTCATAATTATATCTGTAAAAATATCACATAACACTTAAACTGTAGCATATGTAACTAGTAACGAGAATATATCATACCGAATGTAAAAATATCACATAACAGCAGCATATATCACACAGAATACCAAAATGTAACGTAAAAGCAGCATATGTCACACAGAATACCAAAATATCACATAACAGCAACATAAGTCACACAGAATACTAAAATGTCACATAAAAGCAGAATATATTACTCAGAATGTCATTATGTCACATGAAACTAGCATATGTGACATAAGTAAGTATCACAGGTGTTAATAAACTGGTAAGTATAAGATGTTTAGAGAAACTTACGAGCCTTTTTTGTGTTTGACGAGGAACTGGTTCACAAATTTTGATTTTTAATGGATCAAAATCAAGAAACATTGACACTTCATCCACAATCATAAAGTTAAAAAATCTATAGCTGAAAAAACGCAGTAATTAATCCAAATCCAGGCCAACGATCTACTACGACGTTCATCTAATATGCATACTAAAAAGAAAAAACAACTAAGATCAAATCTTCCAATTCCTTCAAAATCCTAAAACTAATAAAATCACTAAAAATACTGAAATAAAGAAAGATCACAAAACAATAACATTAGATCCAAAGAATCAGATCACTCACCTAGTGGGAGATTGTCGACGTAGCTGATGAGCATCTTGAGCGTCGCTCACTTCTCCTCGAGCTCCTTCAAGATCGCCGTGGCCCTCACCCACCGCCCTGAGCTCTTCATCTGATGCCTCACGATCAGCACCGCCACCACATGGGCCAACTTATTTTGTTCCTCCAAGCAATTTTCCCTAAAATTAATCAAGAATAACAAAAAAGCCCAAATCTCGAAACCCAACAATAATTCTTTGCAAATCGAACAAACCCATGAAAACCAAGAGTAACCTAGATCTGAAAGCTCACGCTCTTGCGGAGGAGGGAGGAGGAGGGGAGGGGAGGAGGCGGACGAAGCCGA